GCTTTTGATATTGAGTGAATAAAGGTCAAAAGTACAATGCTAACTTCTCTAACATAACTCCAAATGAAATCTGTCAACCGCTCTTATTAGACTAGCAGGGTTGCAAGTTGAGTTCGGCCAAGTCAGGTTGCCTAATATTCCTCCAACTTGATTCCGATCTTCATAAGCAGCTACCGATTTCTAGGCTACAACTCCACTTAATGATCAGGAGTTGTCACAGAACACAGGGTAGGAGGGATCACCATTTTAGATCAACTACACACCCTGAAACATTATTCTCTTACCAAACTAAAGAACAATGCAAATGCTGATTATTATTTATTACATGCATATTTGCATTACGTATGGTAAACAAAGAAGTATGCTGTATAGAGAGTTGGGTGTCTGTCCGTATAAAGGATGTCTACCAAAAGACGGCATACACTTCAATTTGAGGTTCTTTTCTTAATCATAAAAAGGCTTGGCATCACTACTCCAGTAAGCGTTTATGCTTGCACCATCCAATAGCAATCACATATAAGAATATGGTCCCACCAGTACTGCCACCAACAGTCCACATGAACTCTCGCATCCCTGCTTTTTCTGAATCAAACAGCTCAATTTTGATATTCATGCCGAAGATACCAGCTATAACAACAAAGGCACTCACTACCAGGGTTGCTGTGGTCAACATGACCCCCATTTGCAGGAGATGATTCTGTTTGTCATCCAACATTATATTGATGTAATCCTCTGTGTCGTCGACATACTCCCTCAGCTGCCAATAAACAACCAATATAACATGCATGAAAAGATGTGTTGATGACAAGAGGAACAGATTCCACATATAAAGATGAATGTAAAAAGATTTGATGTGTAAACTTCATAAGACGTTTTGATACGAAAGAAGAATAGGGTGTTGAAAAAAGGAAATTTTGGTCTTAGGGTTTTGGAAGGTATTAATGAATACTATCAATAAAGATTTAGCAGACTAGCAACATGCGTTTCTTTCCCAGCAATCCCATATATGATGGCTACGAAATATCAAGGTTTAGTTATCTACTTTAAACAAAGGAAAAGAACTTGAAAATATTTTCCTCGTATATATAAGCTTTTATTGCATCCCACTTCCTGCTAGAGAAATGTGCAATAAAAGTGCACCGTAGTGAGAAGACAATGACCCAGATTTTTCTGTCACAGCGGAAATTCTTCCCACCAAGGAACCAAATTACAATATAATGAGCCCACCTTTTCCATTCAATTAGTAAGATCTATCTCCCACTTGATCAAACAAGCTAGAAAATTGGTTACAATTATCTACATCTTGATTAAGCCTCTATTGAGGGATAGCTTCAACAGAATCAAAACTGTGGCTAAAAACATCAATTTCATATCTAACTGTGAAGAATTGGCGTAATGGAAGGAAAATCTACTTTAAGGCATTCACGGCCCCTTTCGGCTTCCTTTGAGGTTACGGTATTAGAAGTAATTGAGGCAGCCATGCAATTTGGAGAAGACAAAATGATGTATACTATGCTGCTCAGAAAAAAAAAATTGATAAATCACAGCAGGTGAACATCAACTAAGAGGGCTGCCTTAATAATTTCCTATGTCAAGGGTATCCAAATATCCTTTTTCAAAAATTTTTTAATACCCAGAAATCCACCAATCCTCAAAGCGGACACACAGATTTGAAACTGGGGCCCCCGCCGAACCCTACAATCTTTTGGAGGCAGGAAACACTAGCAAATAGCTAGGTAGGTACCTTTGGGGATTTCAAACCTCTTTCCAACTAACCCCTCGTTAGTATCCTTTAGAACCAGGAGTACTTGAATATTTATAGAGTGGCGCTATTCTCATCCCCAGTTTACTCACCCCACCCACTCTCTAAACCCATTATTATAACCCTAAGATTATATATAAATAAATAAATAAATATATATATATATAGAGGAATATTCTCTAGTGCGGACGTCCAGAATTGTTTAATGTCCGGACTCGTTTTGTTTTTTCACATGATCAGAATGAATTCATTCATTCAATGGAAAGGAAACCATTTCCATTTTGTTTTCTGCATTTCTCTTCTTTATCATTAAAAAAAGGAACTAAAGCACACATAACAGCCTCCAAATTCTCTCTACAGTCCACCAATGAAGGAAAAGCCCAATCTAGAGGTGATGTTTGACTTTTAAGTATTGGCAGAGCATGGTTTCTATTCTAACTTTACCAAGAAAAGTAATAAAAGTGTTTGGGTTGATTTATTAGCACAATGAAGGCAAAAGAACAAGTAGTCCGGACATTAGAAAAAATACGGACGTCTGTAGTAGAGAACAACTCTATATATATATATACCTTAATTTTATTTACTTGAACAGCAGAGGCCATCCACCGCCATGAAGTCCCTATGGGAGCAATGACCAAAGGCCACCATTGGCTGGCCTTCTAAAGATGGAGATCACCGAACTGACCTCTACTGCCTAGGCTGGCTTCTCGCATCACCACTGGCCAGTGATCTCAACTGCCATTTTTTTAATTTTTACTTTTACATGTTGTCCTTCAGTATAATTCAATACAGGCTTTAAGGTGGGTGGAGAATGCAAGATGTGAGTGGCAATAGTGTCACTCTATTTTAAATTATGTTCACTTAAAGATATTCACATAGAAAAAACTGACAGATAAAATGTACTTGTGTACCGTGGATAGCTTGTTTAGTGTACCATCAATTTGCACAAAGTATGCCTCCAAAAGCATTTCAAGCTCCTCTACGTCAAGGTCCTTTCCCATAGCACTATGAGTGGAGCTAGAAGTGGTCCCATGGCTGTCCCTGCTAAGGAATTGATGCTGGGGATTGTCAGGGTTTTGAAGATCACCATCAAAATTGGAGGAACCCCCGGAAGCTTCCAATGAGATTTCAGTAGGAATCCTAACAAAAATAGAATGGGAAACTTAGTAGTGAAGAATGGCATGCCTATAAGTTAAAATGAGAATGACATTATGAGCTGCCTTGCCTGTCATCCATGTCTCTTCGTGGAGCTTCATGATCCATGTCCTCGCTCTCACTCAAAGATGAAGTGGTCGAATTTTCAAAATGTTGTTGAACCAACTTTTCAGTTAGATACATCTCGGCCATATCTTCATCATCATCAAGCAAGTGTTCTAGTTCATCCCTCACCTAGAGGTCAACATAATAAAAAAACAAGTTGAACTAAATCATCTCACTCAAAAAGTAATTATACAACCACAAGCATCTATGGCCTAAGCCTGACCACTTAATCTTCACCATAAAAGTAAAGGGTATGTGTATTATCAAATGTTAAGCTAACCTTCTGAACGCGGCCGGTAATTGCAACCAAGCGACTCTTGATCTGGCGGACACGTTCCAAATTGAGAGTACTAATCTTTGAAGTGAGCTTATCTAAAGCTGGATGAGCTTCTTGCTCCAATGTCCTTGCCTGTTGTCAATTCACAAAACAAAACAAACAAATAGAAAAAAACAAGTTAGAAAGCACGGAACAGATCATAAAATGAGGCAATGAGGAATATGATATTTACTCACTTCATTCTCTAAGCAACTGCATGCAGCCTCAAGGCATGCCTCCAATGCAACAAACTCAAAAGGCAGGACCTTCAACGCATCACGATTCTCGTCCAGACCTTGCTTCCCTGTTGCCTCATCTTCATCATTACCACCAACAACACGTCTCAATTGTGCATCAGCCTCTGCCTCTTCCATGTCATACCAATTTGATTCTTCACCATTGCCCTCCTTATCCTACCCAAAATCAACAACACCACACAACACCAAAATCACAATAAAGAACACAACCCAATACCACAAATCACAATTACAACCACATAAAATCATAATTAGACAAAAAAATGACGACTTTGTGGTACCTGGGTTTTGGCCGGTTTGGTGGTGGCTTGGTGATGGCGCAAAAGCCTCCGCTGAAGCTCATCAATAAATGGCGTCACAGATGGGTCTCTGGAATTGAGCAAGAGGACCTCCTGAGCTGTGATGATGGCCTTGATGTGCTCCAAGTTGATCACGATCGCTCTCTCTCGACCCAGTACTGTAGACGGGTACGAAAGAAGCGGATCCAGGATCCGAAGGTCACGGGCGGGTAGACCCGTTCGGCGCATGATGGCGTGTTTGCCCGCCTCTACCACCTGGGTTTGGCCGCTGGCGTCCAGAACCAGCCATGGGCGCACACCAAGGCCCTTCTTCCGCATCCCGGCGGCCACCGACATGCCCATCCCTGGCATTGTGGGCCGGGTCGGGTCCGGGTCGTCCTCCGCTGCACCCGACTTAGAGGGGTGGTGAATTGGATTAGGAGCTCTCATGGCTCTTTGGCTTCGCGGGTTGGGATTGGGATTTTGGGTACTCTCTCTCTGTCTCTCTCTCCCTCTCTTTTGAAGAGTTGGGAAGATTTGCTTTGCTCTGTTTTAATTTTTCCTCCTTTTCCTCTTAACGTGAGAAGTTCAGTGCGTCATGTCGTCATGTCGTCATGTCATCATGTGTCACTTGCCTAGTTGATACATCTAATACGTCCTAAAGTACAACATTATTATTAGGGTTAGGGTTAATTACATGTAACGGTTTAGCCCCTATGTTTTAAAATTGATAAAAACAAACCAAAGTTACAAGTTGTTACATCATTAGTCGATTTGTCTCTCAATCTATTAAGTTCAATACTTTTTTTATGACACTCGATATTCGAATACACGCTCTACTTTTAAAATATTCAAATACACGCTATATTTTTTGAATATTAATATATTCTAATATTTTTAAAATATTTGACGTATAGCCGCGTAATTATACTTTTTAAATAAAAGTATATAGGTCTAGAAATTAGGAAACGCAGAGTAAACCATATTAGAAGAGTTGTGAGAAATATACATCAATAAATTTATATAATTCAAACTGGAAGAAAGATGTGACATTTTGTTAGAACACTACATCAATAGACTCACCACTTTCCACATAACGTGGAATATTATAAAGTCACATGATCACATCAGTAATTTATAAATACATTAGATATACTTAGTAAATACATTATTTAACTTTTAATTAGCGCATAAATTAATCGAGCAAGCGTGAATGCTTATACCAGGCAATAGCAATGACAAATAAGACAACGCTCCCAATGGAACCTCCCCCAACAGTCCACAAAAACTTCGGCATCCCAATTTTGGTTTCTTCCTCGAAGAGTGCTATTCTTATGTTCATCCCAAAGACTCCAGCCACAACGATTAAGGCACTCACCACAAGGGTTGCTGTGGACAGCACCACCCCCATCTGCAGCAGTTGGTTCTGTTTGTCATCCAGCATTATGTTTATGTAGTCCTCTGTGTCGTCCACATACTCCCTCAGCTTCATCATTATTTTTCAAGCCCATCACACACAAACCAAAGAAAAATAAAGTCAAACAATGGTTACAAGGAGGTGAACTCTAGTAATTAAATGGCTAAAGTATGATTTTGGTCCTCGTAGTTTGAGCGAAGTTTGGTACTTGTAGTTTCAATTTCTGCGATTTTAGACATGTGGTTTGCTAATTGTTTCAATTCAAAGACAATACCTTAATTTCGTCAGGTATTTTTTTTTCCGACCGAATTAGCATATGAGAAACACATGTGAGGGTAAGTTCAACTTTTTAGGGATGTAACACCTCAAATGTACCCGTCATGTGTGCTCCATTAAAAAAATTGACAAAATTAAACTATTGTCTTTGAATTGCAACGACTAGTAAATTATATGACTAAAATTGCGACAATTGAAACTAGAAGTCAGGGACCAAAAATTATAATGGCTAAAGTATGATTTTGGTCCTCGTAGTTTGAGCGAAGTTTGGTACCTGTAGTTTCAATTTCTGCGATTTTAGACATGTGGTTTGCTAATTGTTTCAATTCAAAGACAATACCTTAATTTCGTCAGGTATTTTTTTTTCCGACCGAATTAGCATATGAGAAACACATGTGAGGGTAAGTTCAACTTTTTAGGGATGTAACACCTCAAATGTACCCGTCATGTGTGCTCCATTAAAAAAATTGACAAAATTAAACTATTGTCTTTGAATTGCAACGACTAGTAAATTATATGACTAAAATTGCGACAATTGAAACTAGAAGTCAGGGACCAAAAATCATAATCTGGCCAAAGTATAAAGATTACCCTATTTTCTTACCGTGGATAGCTTGTTTAGTATGCCATCAATTTGGACAAAGTATGCCTCCAAAAGCATTTCAAGCTCCTGCACATCAAGCTGCTTGCTTGTATTAGTAGTAGTTGTACCAATTTGGGCGTCCCTGCAAACAAGTAAAGCAAAATAAAAATTGCTGACCTATAATATTTATACCAAAGTAGAGATAGAGAGATTATTATTAGCTACGTGCATGCCTGTCGATTTCCATGTCTGCTTGAACAATTTCATCATCCATTTCATCGCACAGAATCGGCTCGTTCATGGATGAAGATGCAGAAGAATTAACTTCTAGGTCCCGCTCAACAGACTTTTCAGTCAAATACATCTCGGCCATATCTTCATCATCATCTAGCAAATGTTCTAATTCATCCCTCACCTGCAGATTAACAAAATGCACCATCCATATCATTTAAATACGCAAAAAGAAACACATAATCACGTGTATAATTAAAGAAAAATCAAAACCCTCAACACCCAGGTGCCCAATTCACCTTCTGAACACGTCCGGTTATATCAACCAAGCGACTTTTGATCTGGCGGACACGTTCCAGATTGAGAGTACTTATCTTTGAACTCAGCTTATCCAAAGCTGGATAAGCTTCTTCCTCCAATCTCTTTGCCTTCAAAATAATATACAAAAACAAACAATTACTAATTAATGAAACAATAAAAACAGAGAAGTTATAAAATTTCAGGTATTTTTTTTTCCGACCGAATTAGCATATGAGAAACACATGTGAGGGTAAGTTCAACTTTTTAGGGATGTAACACCTCAAATGTACCCGTCATGTGTGCTCCATTAAAAAAATTGACAAAATTAAACTATTGTCTTTGAATTGCAACGACTAGTAAATTATATGACTAAAATTGCGACAATTGAAACTAGAAGTCAGGGACCAAAAATTATAATGGCTAAAGTATGATTTTGGTCCTCGTAGTTTGAGCGAAGTTTGGTACCTGTAGTTTCAATTTCTGCGATTTTAGACATGTGGTTTGCTAATTGTTTCAATTCAAAGACAATACCTTAATTTCGTTAGGTATTTTTTTTTCCGACCGAATTAGCATATGAGAAACACATGTGAGGGTAAGTTCAGCTTTTTAGGGATGTAACACCTCAAATGTACCCGTCATGTGTGCTCCATTAAAAAAATTGACAAAATTAAACTATTGTCTTTGAATTGCAACGACTAGTAAATTATATGACTAAAATTGCGACAATTGAAACTAGAAGTCAGGGACCAAAAATTATAATGGCTAAAGTATGATTTTGGTCCTCGTAGTTTGAGCGAAGTTTGGTACCTGTAGTTTCAATTTCTGCGATTTTAGACATGTGGTTTGCTAATTGTTTCAATTCAAAGACAATACCTTAATTTCGTTAGGTATTTTTTTTTCCGACCGAATTAGCATATGAGAAACACATGTGAGGGTAAGTTCAGCTTTTTAGGGATGTAACACCTCAAATGTACCCGTCATGTGTGCTCCACTAAAAAAATTGACAAAATTAAACTATTGTCTTTGAATTGCAACGACTAGTAAATTATATGACTAAAATTGCGACAATTGAAACTAGAAGTCAGGGACCAAAAATCATAATCTGGCCAAAGTATAAAGATTACCCTATTTTCTTACCGTGGATAGCTTGTTTAGTATGCCATCAATTTGGACAAAGTATGCCTCCAAAAGCATTTCAAGCTCCTGCACATCAAGCTGCTTGCTTGTATTAGTAGTAGTTGTACCAATTTGGGCGTCCCTGCAAACAAGTAAAGCAAAATAAAAATTGCTGACCTATAATATTTATACCAAAGTAGAGATAGAGAGATTATTATTAGCTACGTGCATGCCTGTCGATTTCCATGTCTGCTTGAACAATTTCATCATCCATTTCATCGCACAGAATCGGCTCGTTCATGGATGAAGATGCAGAAGAATTAACTTCTAGGTCCCGCTCAACAGACTTTTCAGTCAAATACATCTCGGCCATATCTTCATCATCATCTAGCAAATGTTCTAATTCATCCCTCACCTGCAGATTAACAAAATGCACCATCCATATCATTTAAATACGCAAAAAGAAACACATAATCACGTGTATAATTAAAGAAAAATCAAAACCCTCAACACCCAGGTGCCCAATTCACCTTCTGAACACGTCCGGTTATATCAACCAAGCGACTTTTGATCTGGCGGACACGTTCCAGATTGAGAGTACTTATCTTTGAACTCAGCTTATCCAAAGCTGGATAAGCTTCTTCCTCCAATCTCTTTGCCTTCAAAATAATATACAAAAACAAACAATTACTAATTAATGAAACAATAAAAACAGAGAAGTTATAAAATTTGGAGTAACTGGAGTTGATGTTTATACTTCATTTTCTAAGCAACTGCATGCAGATTCAAGGCAAGCCTCCAATGCAACAAACTCAAAAGGAAGAACCTTTGATCCATACAATTGATTCTTCTCAACTGGACCCTGTTCATCAAACTGATCAGAAAACCCTTTTGGGGAATTCTCACGGCTCTCACCTCTCGACTGTGACTCTCCTCCCAAATCATGCAGCCTGGTCCAGTTTGACTTCGACCCATCTTCTTCATTCCCCTCCTACACATTTTCACGAACACCACGCATGCAATTACTAAAAGGACTCTTATCCATCAAAATCTCTCAAGAAATAAAAGAAAAGATCGCATTGTACCAACCAGAGCTGCTGTGGTTACTTGGTTATGGCGGATTAGCCTGCGCTGAAGCTCGTCAACGAAGGGACTGACAGAAGGGTCGGCGGACTTGACCAAGAGGACCTCATGGGCGGTGACGATGGCCTTGATGTGCTCCAGGTTGATCACAATCGCTCTCTCTCGACCCAGAACCGTCGACGGGTACATGAGAACCGGGTCCAGGATCCGGAGGTCCCGGGCGGGTAGACCCGTCCGGCGCATGATGACGTGTTTACCCGCTTCCACGACTTGGGTTTTCCCGCCGGAGTCCATTAGCAGCCAGGACCGGACGCCGGTCGTCCCCTTGGAGCTCTTCTTCCGCTGGCCCCCAGTGGGCAGGGAGGCCATTAACGGGGCGGAGTTTGACGGGTGGGGCAGTTGTCGAGGATGATGAGGGGAAGGAGGTCTCATGGTTTTGGCTTCCTTACGGAGTTGGTACCCAAAGATGTCACTGGTTCTTCTTCTTCATGGAAGAAGCGAATGAGACATAGATATAAGCACTAGCTTTACTCATTTTTAATTCTTTCTTTTCTGTTTTCGTTTTTCTGATAGGACTTTTTTATTAAATTAAAACAAAAGAATTCTTAAATGATTGTTTGAACCTTCATCATCTAGGGAAGGTAAGCGCCAAGTAAAACCTAATAATAGGTATGCCTCTGTCTCTTTCATCCTTCCCTGCCTCTCTCTGTCGATTTCCTTTGTTAATTACTTTGTCGCTGGAAATTAAGAGTAGTTGAAAATTGACAGTCTTCTCATTTGATACATATGCAGTGCTCTTACTCTTCAGAAATTTGATATCCTTGAGTCCAAACGTTGAGAGAGGGAGAGAGAGTCGGTTCGGTTCAGTATCCGATGGTTTAGGTAAATGGATACCACAACTGCAACCGAGAGGGCATCAGTCGGTTGTAGAACCGAACGCTGATGACCAGAAAGGCATCGGTCGGTTTTTCTCGGTGGGCTTCGGTAATTCGTTTTTATTTATTTATTTATTTAAATTTCTTTTTCGGTGGGCATCCACAATTATGCTCTCTATTTTTAAATTTGAGCTAAAAACATATAAAAGTTATTTTAGGAGCTCTCTATAAAATTTAAACTCCAATCGTGCTTTCTAGTTTATGGAGTCATAAATACTATAACTCTTTTTTGATTGGTCTATCTCTTTTAAAAAATAAAAGAAAAAATAGTTAGCATTAAATAAAGGTTTGAAATACTCATTAAATCAAGCATCATTAAATTATAGGGATCCACTAGGAGTCATTTCTCTCTCCTCAGATTTAGGAGCTCCTAGAGGACTCTCTATTTTAGGAGGTGGATAGGGAGTATGGTTGGAGTTGTGTTTTTCCAATTCCTCTCTAAAATTTGTCTTAGGAAGTGGTTTAGGGAGCCCATTGTGGATGCTCTAATGCCCACCACAAACACTAACTAACAACAAACCTGAGTGTAGAAACCCTACACAAATCACTGAAAATTAACTTGTTAACAGCAGCTGGGGGAACATCCCAAATATGGAGACCCAAAGGCTTAGTAATCCCAATAAAAGCCCCCCCAGCCATAATAGATTTGCAACTGGATATAAGACTAAACATCACCACTGAGATAAAATGTTACACCGTTTCACGTGTTTGCCTTTATGGAGATAGATATGGATGAATTAATACATATTGGTAAGTGATTTTCGCAATCCTATTTTCTCATATAAATTTATATTTAATTAATTAATTAATATTTTTTAAATCAACGAAAGGAGGAGTCTCGGTTAGGCCTCATCATTTGGCCCGCGGGCTCATGGGTCGATGGGGGCCCGCCCGGCCCATTGAAAAAAAGCCCGGCCTAGCCCGTTATGGGCTTTGAGATGGGGCTTGGGTGTCTGAAGCCCGGCCCGGCCCATAGACCCGTCCCGATTAAGCCCAAGAAAGTCCGGCCCAGCCCGCCCACAAAAGTCTGGCTCGTTAGGCTGGCATACATATATAATTATGTATAAATAAGAGTTTATGATTAGGATTATATCACTTAAATCACATATATAATTTGTTTCATTTCATTTACTTTTCTTTATCCATTCCTAGTTTATAATTGGATGATTAACACATTAATTTGTGTCAATTATTAATACAACAATTATATGTATAAAAATAAGATGAACAACATATCATATCACCAAATATAATCATATCACGAAACATAATCGTACCACCAAATATAATAATGCTTTTCTTGAACACATCACCAAACATTTGCATATTTATTCATACCATCCTTTAAATATTTTCTTTTGATACTTATTATTTTTTAAAATTATTTCTTAAAACATATTACGGTCTAATTATGTAATAACCTCAAAAATAATACTTGGTTTTATTATTTTTGTGGAAAATCTTATTAAGTTGTGTGACTTTATTGGGTGTTTTATGAATTTGGTTTGGTGTAAAAATATTGGAATTAAGTGAGTTTAATATCAAATTTGGACTAAAATGCCCTTATGATTAAGTTTATGATTTTTTTTTAATGAAGTAGGCCCGTTTTGGACCAGCCCGTTGGGCTTAGCCCGGCCCGGCCTGATGGGCTTTCTCAAGCCCGGCTCATGGGTCAAGCTTGGGCTTTGAATTTTCTAAAAAAACAAGGCCTGATATTTTCTCTCTCCTCTTTAAAGCTTGACCCGGCCCGGCCCGACCCATTGACTAGCCCTAGTCTCGGTTGCCAAATCCATTGAAGGCATCATAGTTGAAAGTTAATGGCCCTCCACAATAGTACTGCTGGTTAGGCCTTCATGGCTCAATACAACACACTAAACAAACCAGTTTGAATCCTTCGTTTTCCACAAGTGGGCTCAACCCATATAAGTTCACTTTTTTATTTTTTATTTTTTTGGACATATAATAATTTGAATTTAAGGTCACCTTGGTTTAGTCCAAGTCTCTTGCAAACAGTTTATTACTATCATTAATGAACTGTTTGCAAGAGACTTGTAGCTCAAGAGATTAAAATCAATTATCTTTGTACTTGAGATCTTATATTTGAATCCCCCATCACTCAATATCGCTTGTAGAAAAGGAAAAAAAAAAAAACATAAACAGACTGCTTAATAACAATCTACTATTAGGATTTAGATGATAAGATGAATTTTTATATCGTCTTCAATTAATGATACTTCAAGAACATTACACAAATAAGAGTTCCAACTTTTTTTTATCTTAAAAAAAAATGGGTTTTGACAATCATGCAACACCTACATCATGGCAACCTTGATAACTAATTAAAGATAGTAATATGCAAACCACCTATCCATCATGGCAAGACATTTCTATTCTGGAGCTGTGTGGCCACCTCCCTGTACACATCAAAATTAAATTAACTTATTTCCCCATTAATTATTTTAATTTTTATTTGAAAAGAATTATGCAGGATCTCCTGTTCTTGCCTTTACAGTCGCAAATGTCAAAGTGTACACTTTTTTCTAGTTGGGCCGAGGTTTCAGTGTACCTATTTTTTTTAAAAAGAGCACAAATTTAATTAGAAATTGCAGTGAAATTAATTATGAATTATAAAATCATGATCAAGTGAATTTGATATATAGTAGCAATCAACCCTGCAACTTGGGCATTGACCAACCATGGTCTCATGCACGATGTGTCCCTCAAAGTGCAATCTTTCTTTTTATATTTTTATAAAATAAGAGCGCACCTCTCGAATGTTTAGAGCATCTTGGACAGTTTTATCATTAGCCCAAATGAAGGCGAATAAATAGTTATAACTCTGCAAAGAAGTAGGGGGTAGCAAGATATTAGCATATGCAACATATAGTTAAGTCATGTACATATATAAATATATGGCTAAGTTTTTATTTTTTTATTTTTTTATTGTATGAAATTTGACTCATTTCCCACTTTGGTCTATATGATTTCAGTTCCGGTCATTTTGGTCATGTATGCTTGGTTGGTTTGCAATCAAGTTTAAATCGTAAACTCAATCAAATTCATAGGTGACATCCTGACATGGTAGTAGGCAACCAAAACATCTGCATTTTTGTCTCCACAAAAAAAAGTTTGCAAGCAATCCAATGGGGAGGATGTTAGATTTTTTGACTTCATTGCCAACTAAACAAAACTATTGAATTAAAATTGCCAAAATGGATAACACGTAGACCAAAATGAAAAATAAGTCAAATTTGAAGAACCAAAAGTGTGATATTAACCTAAGAAATAAAATAAAATAAAAATCCCAGCCCGTGGATGGCCCGGCCCAATTCAAAAACCCCGCCTAGGCTTGGCCCAATGGGTAGGCCTAGGTCAAGCTCTTTAAAACCTCGGCCCAACTAGAAAAATAAAAAAGCCCGTGAAGGCCCGGCCTGAGCAACCCCAATAACGAACCCTACGTACATGACAATTTGAAGGGTAAAGTTTGCTAGTTGACTATATTTTGTACCATCATCAGCCTCTTCAATTTAATTAATTCAATGTTTGACATTTCTTTTTCTTTTAAATCAAACACTAAAATTTAATTCTGCTTAATAATACCAAATTAATATTTAAATAATAATTCATTATTATTCACTCAGCCTCTTGCAGGCTTTTACTATTCCAAGACAGCCTTTGTTGTTCCAAAATTTAATAAATGCGTTGAAGAGAAAAAGTATACTCGTCTGTTTATGAAGAGTGAAGGAAGAGTCTTAGATTTGGTGAGTGGGTTTGACAAGATTGTTGGAGAAAGTTTTGCTGATGTGGCTCACCTATTTTAGTGTCCCAACGCTTTTAAAGAGATTGTTAGAAATGCTTAATAGTTTAAGTAGATTTGGATATATAATGGATGAATTTTATGTTGTATCAAGAACTTGAACATCTTACACAAATGAATTTCAACATAAAAATGATATTGACATCCAAGTGACAATAGTCTTACAAATTTCTTTGCGTAAACTAAAAATATTCTTACAAGAGATGACTCAAATAGACAAATTTTCAATACAAATTTGCACTAAAGATTATACTTAAAATTTGCTCGATCATCCGTCGTGCTAAATATTATACATCAAGAACATGTGTTACACAAAAGTGACATTATACAGTTACATATCCAATTGACAATATTCTTGAAATCTATTCACCAAAGCAGTACCAGCTGCAACATCCAAGACTTTTGGGGCACGAAAGTATTGGAATGAATGCTAACTAAACATAGTAATATGCAAACCACCTATCAATCATGGCATGACATTCCATAGGCTTGAATTCTGGGGCTGTGTGGCCACCTCCCTGCAAAGGTCAAACAAAGGTTAATTTCCCCATTATTTTAGGTATTTTCTTTTTGGAGAAACATAGTTGACAAGAATTAAGCAGCAGGATTTCCAGTTCTTGCCTTTACAGTCACAAATGTCAAACTATAGGTTTTCCTTGTATATGCATTGGTGTACCTATTAGAAAAAAAAATATATATATCAGAAATTGCAGTGATATTAACATTATGACTAACTAAAAT